GGAAACAACACATACGCACGGAGTCAACGACAGGAGCCAACCGCACATTTGTGGTTCCAGTGAGAAGACCTAGAATTCCCAGGCTAGCTTTGTAATTTTTATCATTATTTCACTTATTCAGCTATAGCGATTATGTCCAAGCATTCTTTTATCTATACCGAATGGAAATTTACGTAAAATACTTTAGAAAAAGAAGTTATAATGAAAAAAAACTTTCAATAAAATATGCAATATTTTTGTCCGAGGGTGGAATATACACCCTTCACAAACGCTAACATCCATGAATGGATTGTCAAATATTCTTAAGAAAACTGACTTTGTAGCGGGGGTGAGGATTTTTATTCCAATGTGAGCATATTAGAAAATCACCGATGAGATTCAGAACAATAAAAAAATATGTTACAGATTTTATATTCGCAAATAAAAGTTTTTTCGGTAAAAACACCCAGCGGATCTCTTGTTTTTCATTTGTGAAAGTGTTTCAAACTGAATAGTTTTCTAATATAGGATCTATTTCAATGATATGCCCAGGTATTATTTCATATATCAAGTGGTGCCAATTTGAAAAATATATTGAAGTGCGTGTCCATGTTACCGTGATCAGATATTCTTTCATTACACAAGTCTGCAAAAAAAAATTGAGAGCTGTTTTTTTTATTCTTATGTTTTGGGTGTTCTGAATCCGAAAATTACTTTCATTTTGTCATAGAACGTCACGTTTCCTGACAATGTAGGGATCTATGTTATCATTTCAAAATAGGAAATAAAAGACTAAACTTTTTTTATTTATAATTACGTAACAAATAGTTATTTATGTATCAAGGGAATTAGGAGGGCCTTAATTACCGATGGCAAAATTTGCGTCCCGAGGGCCTCTGGCCCGAGGGACAGCAATTGCCTGATTTTTACTTGTGAAAGGTAGAGGGAATTATAAAATCTATAATGTCCCAAGGGAGTTATGACCCTCTTTATTGATAGCGTAACTATGACGATATAAGCTTATAATATCCCGGTCAGAAATAAACTTATTTATTAACTCAAATACATTCAGTAGTAAGCACTAACCAGAGACAGATTGTCTCTGGTCTGGATTCCTGGCCATACTGATCTGGAAGACAGTGGGGCTGCTGACTCCGTTGCAAAGGCGGGTGCTGCAAGCAGCTTCATCGGACCAGAACCTGTCATTGGCATCGATTATTTAGGATTTACCAAACAAACATTGAACACCTGGATAGCAAGAAGATATATGGACTTCTGGCAGAATCTTCCAGGATTGGCTCACTCCAAGGCGTTTATTCGCCCTTCGAAACTTGATTTCAAACAGTTGTTGGACTACAGTAGGGATGAACTACGATGTCTAACAGGCCTTCTACAGGTCACTGTCATTTGAATCATCATATGCAGAGACTCGGACTGTCGGAAGACAGTGTGTGTCGCCTCTGTTTGGAAAATTATGAAACAGCAGAGCACATACTTTGTGCCTGCCCCGCTGGGGACCGAATCAGGTTTTTAGAGTTCGGCAAAGCCGTACTTTAACCATCTGACCTGAAAGACTACTCATCATACAAACTGATCGGATTCGTTAAAAAGCTGGGTTTATTTGGTCGAGTGTGAATAGGTGTGAGCCACAATAAGCCCTTGCGGGTTGCGGTGGAGGATCAAATAGAACCAATCACTTTGGACCTAACCTAACTTAAGCACTAACACATTTTTTCCAGTGAGACTCCTTTTGGTACATTTTCGTTTGTAGGAAGTATCTGGAAGGTATCTCTGAAGCGTCCAACAATATTCTGCCATCATAAAGACGCTCCAACTTCAGTGGTATATTTTTTCCTTGCTCTTCATTCATGAATCCTAAATTTTCTGGAAAGTAGTCGAGGTGGGAATGAAGAAAATGTACTTCTCAATTCAACCTAAAGCTTGAAATACTTTTAACATCCTTTTGACGATTTGTTTGTAGTTAGGGTCGTTTTTATTGCCTAAAACTTTCTCTATGACCTCTTTGAAGGGAATCCACCCTTTGAGGATCCGTTGTGGTTATAATGAATTGTGGATCAGCCATAAGCCATCTAATATCTGGTCCAACGAAAACACCTTCCTTCAACTTTGCGTTTGAGAGTCCTGGAAATTTTGATGTTGAGTATTTGAAGCAATGTCCATGCCTTAGAAGTGCTTTATGTGAAGCCGTGGTAGAAGGAGGCACCCAAGTTTCATACAGGATGTTCTTTCCGCCAACGTTAAGCTCCCTCGGAGGCCAACGCTTTTTGATCCGGATTCGCTCGCTCTACTATCCCACAGATACAAAAAGCAAGGGAATTTGGTAAACCCAGATTGTTGCCCATGCAACATGCCCAAGATTCTCAAATCACCGCACGCTTGCCAACCTTGGTCTTTATAATTAAATTTGCAAAGAATTAATTCCAGGTTCATGTAAGGTTCCTTGCACTGTTTGGAATAACCGACAGGAATGAAGGCATGGAAGCCGCCATTGTGAAACAGGACTGCTACAAGACTTGTTTTGAAACATTCATTCAGGACCTCAAGTTAGCCCAAGCTGTCAACTACGAACTGCTTTATAAAGTATTGTTTTCGAGTAGAGAGGACTGGATCCTCCGGGAGAAGGAAATATTCAGAGCAGATAGTTGTTGGTTCACAGATGGATCAAAAACACATTCGGTTCTGGTCCAGGTGTTTTCAGTCGCAGACCCAGGACAGAGATATCAAGCTGCCTAGGAACCTATGTGACTGTATTTCAAGCGGAAATTTACGCTATTGAATTGTATGCGGAGAGATTGGAAGAATCCAACCTCATACACAAGTCAATAAAAATATTTTCAGACAGTCAAGCGGCATTGGAAGCTCTTGGCTCCTACCGAGCAACGTCTAAATTGGTAGCAAATTGACAAAAACGACTCTCCTCGATAGGAAGATTCGACAGATTATCTCTGGTCTTGATTCCTGGCATACCGGCCTGGAAGGTCATGAGGCTGCTGACTCCCTTGCAAACGAGGGTGCGACAAACATCGGACCAGAACCTGTCATTGACATCGCTTTAGGCTTTGCCAAACGAAGATTGAATACCTGGAAGGCAAAAAGATGCATGGACTTCTGGCAGAATCTTCCAGAATTAGCTCACTCCATCCTTCGAAGCTTGACAACAAACAGTTCTTGGACTATAGTAGGGATGAACTACGATGTCTAACAGGCCTTCTTACAGGTCACTGTCGTTTGAATCATCATATGCAGAGACTCGAACTTTCGAAAGACAGTGTGTGTCGCCTCTGTTTGGAAAATGATGAAACAGCAGAGCACATACTTTGTGCCTGCCCCGCTGGGAACCGAATCGGGTTTTTAGAGTTCGGCAGAGCCGTACTCTTATCATCTGACCTGAAAGACCACTCGCCATACAAACTTATCGGCTTCGTTAAGAAGCTGGGTTTATTTGGTCGAGTGTGAATAGGTGTGAGCCACAATAAACCTTGGCGGGTTGCGGTGGAGGGTCGAATAGACACACTCACTTTGAACCTAACCTAACCTAGCCCAAAAAAACCCTTTTTCATAATACAGTTTTGTGTTTTGCAAAATAACCTATTGTTCTGGAATAGGGAATATGCAGACAATTTTTTAATTTTTTTCATTCAATATTCACTTCATTTTGATATAGAAAAAAAATAAACATACCTGTAAGAGTAATAATTATTTTTTCATAAAATCTTAAAAATATTGGTTTAATTTGACAAGTTCAAACGCTCCTATTTCTCGCGCACTTGAGGCGTGACGTCATAGGGCACGTCCTGTCAGTTTATTGTTCACATTGAGAGTTAGTTTGATAGTTAACAAGGTGTGTTAGTTTAAATATCGCGTAATAATCATGGAAGAAGAAAACAAGCCATTTTATAGATATTGCTTGGTACCAATGTGTCCGAACACTATAAAAACTACACCAGATAAAGTTTCATAACCTTAAAGTTCCTAACCTTATTTACGTATGTCATACAATGAATGTAAACAACATTTGAGGTTATATTGAGGGAAATAATTTTATAAGTGCATGTATGCATAAAAACAGATTTACTAGATTAAAAATACCATGTTTTACCATAATTACCTTGCAGCTTTTACTCCCTTAACCTCAGCAGATGTAAAATCCGGGTTTGACGCAAAATATGTGGTCATCATGAATGCATCTATTTTTGGAAGATTATCCGACTGTGCTTTAACAAAACCGTTGTCCGTCATTACTGTTGATGACGCTTAGTATTTCTTGACATTAAAATATTAGAAAATTAAGCTAGAATAGCAATACAACCAATTTTTCTCTCCAACACAACCTGAATGTATGAAAATAAATCACAGGTGACTGACAGGACATGCCGTATGACGCCATGTTTCATTTCGACCAATGGAGGGGCATTTTACAAATTTGAATTTCGCTCGTAAATTTTTCACTTTTTGATTTATGTTTTGAATAATTAAATACATATCAAATCAGAAAATAACGAATTGAGTGTAATCGTAGGACCTTAAAAGCTCAGGAAAAAAATCAGGCCTTTTATTTTTTATGCATATTCCCTATTGTTTGAGTATTTTTTTACATCTCAGAACATCTAAATGCATAGAAATCAGTTGAAAAGTCGATACACAAAATATTAGTGATTCGCCTTTTTCCTGAAAGTTCTAAAAAACTTTTCAGGCAGACTTGTTTGTATTATAAGAAACAAAGATTAGTCTTCGACAAAATTGTTACTCGTCATATGCATATGCTGTTTTTTAACATTTTTATATGCTCTGATGACAGATTCCAACACCAGTAATGTGAAATACTATCTCTGATACATTTTTTGTGAATCAAATTGACCACCATCAGGTCATGGTTATCACATATATTACTTGAGTTTTGAAAGTTTTTTCGGCAGTTATCAAGATGTTTTCTGCCTTCTAAGAAATTAGATGTTTTCACAGTAAAAATTGCGTCGACTAAAGCCTTTTTTTATTTTCAGAGTGTGGGTTGATAACCGACACGTACAGACCAAATGGATGAAGATGCTATTCCAGCTGAAGAAATTGAAAGGAATGAGGCCAAAGCAAACGATATATACCAGAGAACGAGCAGATATTCTAATGCTAGCAATGTAATTCGATCCAGACCCAGACGCAAAAGGCAGATAGTAGAAACTAGACACTATTTCTTCGGAAACCGCGTTGAAGAAGTTGTTAAAGAAGTCGAGAATACTGGAAGAAGAAAAACTCTCAAAACGTCTCAGGAAATTTATAGTGAAAAGCAAGCTTTGAAAAATCACGGTTTGTTATTTGGAAATGTCGATGCTCCAAGTGATAGTGACAGCGGGAAAAGCGATTTCGATGAAGAGTATTACAAATACAAACCGCAACCGATACAAGTAGACCCTAGTCAAGTAGTGGTCATAGAGAAAAGGGAAGATGGAGATCAAGATTTGCATGAAAGTAACGAGGAACTTATTAGTGAGATTTATGGGTTTCAAAACAATCAACAAAATAGTTTGGAATGCAACAACAGTGAAATGGTGGAGCAGACTCTTCGACAGAGGAGAAGGAAAGGTGGAGATCGAAATTCACAAGAAAATAACAGGAAACTTAATAGTGAGATTTATGGGTGTCAAAACAATCAACAAAACAGTTTAGAATGCCACAACAGTGAAATAGTGGAGCAGACTCCTCGACAGATGAGAATGAGACCGGAAGGAAACAAAATTGGAAAAAGGCTGAGAAAACAACTTAGCAACCAATATTTTGTCCCGCCTCTCGGATATTCTCATAGTCAATTCGATGTAATAATAAGAAGGCTTGATGAACTAGCAAATAGTATCCGCGCCCAGACACAATCAACAAAAAAAAAGGCTGCTGGTGAAGTGCCTTCTCTAAAGAAGGAAAGTGGAGGGTTGGAAAAGGTTTGTCCGCCAAAAATTGAAGAAAAAAATACGTTGAACGTGAATAAAGAATCGGAAGTTGTTTCTCCAATAAAAATTGAGGAAAACTCATGCAGTGAAAGTGTAAGACTGAAAGATATTTCTCTGTCAAAACTTGAGGAAAATAATGTACCTTCTCTAAAGAAGGAAAGTGGAGGATTGGAAGAGGTTTCTCCGTCGAAAGTTGAAGAAAAAAATACGTTGAACGAGAATAAAGAATCAGAAGATGTTTCTCCAATAAAAATTGAGGAAAACTTATGCAGTGAAAGTGTAAGACTGAAAGAGATTTCTCCGTCAGAACTTGAGGAAAATAATGAGCCTTCACCAAAGAAGGAAAGTGTAGGATTGGAAGAGGTTTCTCCGTCAAAAATTGAAGAAAAAAATACGTGGAACGAGAATAAAGGATCGGAGGATGTTCCTCCAATAAAAATTGAGGAAAACTTATGGAGTGAAAGTGTAGGACTGGAAGAGATTTCTCCGTTTAAACTTGAGAAAAATAATGTGCCTTCTCTAAAGGAGGATAATGGAGGATTGGAAGAGGTTTCTCCATCAAAAATTGAAGAAAAAGGATCGGAAGATGTTTCCCCAATGAAAAGTGACGAAAACTCATGGAGTGAAAGTGTAGGATTGAAAGAAGTTTCTCTGTCAGAACTTGGGGAAAACGGTACATGGAATGAGAACAAAGAGTCTGAAGAGGATAACCAGTTGGAATTTGAAGAAAAGAATGCGCGGACTAATGGTAGCAGATGGAAATCTTTCTTTCGAAATATATTCTGTGGTTTTAACAGTATTAAACAGCGAATTGTCTAGAAATTTGTTATATCATCTTTGTACATAGATTTTATATTTATTCAAGGATAATGAGTGCATGGTTCAAAAAAGTTAATAAAAAAGTATATTTATTTTTTGTATAAACATTTTCGCTGCTTTTCATTACATATACCTTCTACCACAATTAAATCAGGATAATAATTTTCATCAAGTAATTATCAAATTAATTCATTTACTCAAATTGAAAAGATTAAATTTTTAAGAGAGAATAATTTTAGGGAAAGAAAAGTTTTGGCTTTCTAATTATCCACCTTTATACAGGAAAAAGCGGGAATGTTCGAAAGAAAGGAAGAAAGCAATTAATTTTGAAATGAACTATTTAAAAAGAAGATGTGTATTTAAAAAGAAGATGCAAAGAAGTAAATTTCAAAGACAAACTGCTTTCAAGAGATTATTAACTTAACTGTCAAAAATACAAAGATAAAAAACTTCTCATGATATCAACTTGGTTAGCGAAAGGCACCTCGAGAGACCGTGGTATGGAATAAGTTATTTCTTTAGATAGTATTTACTTCGTTTATAATCCACATATAGATTATATTGAGGTTCGTGTATAACAATTTTAGCCAAATTTAACAAATTCTCGATTTCAAATTTGAGAAGACCATTACCGCAAGATTGCGCTAGCGTCATGCAAAACTGACGGAAAACGGATTTTAATATTAACTGTTCTTTTTCCAAAACTTATTTATTACAATGGCTCGTCCAGCAATATCTTTTGAATTAAATTATAGTCAGAAGAAATAAACTAAATTGCGACCACGTTTATTGTGTTATAACCAATATTTTGCCGGAGCTTCTTGTTCGAACTATGAAATCAAGATGTTGCCATCCTAACGAAGTTTTCAAGATGCGTTGAAGATTGTACAACTGTCTTCTTTGTACCAGAAAATAGTGGCGCCATCTTTTTACTGGTAGAAAATATAATGCATTTTTATAAATATACAAGGTTGATTGAATTTCTCTTTAAACAACAATTCAACAATTGAATTGAAAAACATTTGTTGGTCGATTTACGAAACATGAGATTACTCAATATATATCTTGTTCATGTGGAAACTACAAGATACCTAGAACTTAATATCTTTTATTGAAAATTGTGAATAAAGTCATCTTGGCAACAGCATTGTTTGAGCAACATTCTATACCTAAGATTATAGTAGAATAGAGTACCTTCAACTTGAGCCTGTTTGAGAGCATAAATGAATTTATAATTGATATAAATACATGATCAACAGAAATCACCACATCATTTTACAAAAAAACGTGTAACTTTCATGGGGACATCTATTCACGTTAAAACAAATATCTGTAAAGGCAAAGGATAGGTTACTTTAATCTTCGGTAAAGCCACGAATACGTTTCGTATGTCATCAGTTTAATTGTCAGATGGTTGAGTTTGTGTCAGATTGTTGAATTTCATAATAAACAATTTTCAGTAGAATATATCTGAAATGTTGCAGGAGGATTCTAATGGGGATTCTTCCTTCGAAATAATCGATAAGAAAAATCGTGAGAATTCGGATGTAACAGGTACATTTTATTCATAAGGGATGAGCTGGAGAAAACTTGAAAAATTAAATTCGATTTTAAGGATCATCGAGCAACCTCAGCTCTGTCTCCTCAGCATACTCAATACCATCTCCAAGCGGAAATTTGCTATCCAATGTTGCTCCACCTTCAACCTTACCTGATTTTAGGATATGGTCTGCTGGAACTCCAGCTGTTGAGACAAGTGTTTCACATATGTCTCAAGCTGTTTCAACACAGTCACAACCAGTTCCGACCACTAAGGGTCCAATCCCTTCAGCTGGGGTAGCGGAAGAGTTTCCTCGAACCCAATTCAGGTAACTAGTTTATTTTAATTGACTCATCTCCAAATGAACGTTTCATCATTATCATATAGAATTGGAACCTCTGGCATGGAATAGAAAATAATATTATTTGATGAACATTTCATCAACCAGATTCGAATCATTAATAATTGGTGGCTGTGTCCAATAGAATCACTTATGGCAAAATCTAATTTTCATTTGCATATGTAGTTTAAGTGTCTCATCTTATATTTGATTGTATATTCGAAAATTTCGGTACATTTTTAGGCAGGCATGTTTTGTCCCTTTGATTAAGGTAATGTTTTGCTAGGTGCATTCATCTCACCAATTAGGTTGAATGAAATTATTATATTTCAACTATTTATATTTGTCTTTTGAGTGCTGCAATACCACCAAGCAAAGGTGTTCAGTTTGGACCAACAATCCAGCAAAAATCTACTGAGAAAGATGCTCCTGGAGGATTCATGGGTCTTGTAAAAGAAGCTTTTTCAAGCGGAGGAGTTTTGTCAAAGATGGCAGAGAAAGCCAAAAGCTCTGTCGATTCAATTATCACTACCCTGGATCCACAAATGAGTGAATTCATCAGTGAGTATTGAACAGTGTTTTTTTTGTATGAACTGTTGTTGCCTATCAAGTTATCAAAACCCAGTCTGTGTAAATGGAAAAATCTCCGAGCATAAATCAAGGTAATACACATCAGGGCATTGTTTGACATTGGCCAATGCTCTAAATATCTTTTTACAAACTTTTAAAATAAACATGTAATGAATGAAATTACCACCGTGTATGTATCAATTAATTACCAGTGTCCACATTTGAAAAAATATTCAATAATGGGGAGTTGTTTAATTATATTGGTCATTCAGTAAATGTCCCGAATTCTTAGTTCTATTTATTTCAGAACATTCTAAAAGATTTAGTTTCAAACTTTTCTCTTTCAAATGTAACAATCATAGTTGTGATTGAATACATGTCCTTTTGTCAAAAGATGGTTTGCAAATGTGGAATTGGTATTCCCATTCTATGCTCTTTGACTCTTTGAGGAAAGGTTCTCCCCGTTTGGCCAATATGAAGTTTTTGGCAAGAACCACAAATCATGTAATGTTACTTTAAAATTAATTTTTTCACATATTCTATTTTATAACACTTTTAGACTCTGGTGGAGATACGGAAGTCACAGTTATTTCAGAAAATGAAGAGGAAGTAAGTGCTTTGAGGGAAGCATTTCACTCGGTGTTCGGAAAGGCTTGGGTGAAGTAAATATGTGTATAGAACATATCTCCTTGACTTGACAGTTTTCTTTTGTAGTGGAATGAAGTTAAATGTCCCTCCAAAAAAATTTCAGGCTGTGGGATTTGAAGAAGGCAAAAGAAATGCAGAAGAAAAAATCGAGTATTCCTTCAAATATAGGAAGACTCCCACAGTAGCCATAGAGAACATTCTTTTGGAACAAAACGGAGAGTAAGACATTTTGAAGACATTGTTATAAATAACCAATATGTGGCAATTCTCCCAATGATGCCAACAGTCTGTAATTTTTCATTTGAAACTTCAGATTCTAAAAAAGGACGATTTTTATTCCTACTCAATAGTATAATCAACTCTCCTAGATTCATGATTTTCATATTATAGGAAATATAGAAATATCTAATTTTTGTGGGGTTATGTTGACCAGTCTTCTTCCATTAATTGTCATTTGGTTGTTTACATAAAATGTAAATTATGTGAGCAACAATTATCTCAAAATTTCAAGTTTTTGTGTCCCTCACAGATCATTCCATATAACCCTATGAAAAATAGGTAGCTCTTTACATTCCCAAAATTCCCACATCTCGTTGAATTTACTATTGTAAAACAGGTTTCACAGGAAAATACCTCGATTGGAACAAGAAGTTTAGGTTAAAGGAAAATGGAAGAGTTCTCTCAATGTTGCTAGAGTTCATTTGAAGCACTTTTTCTGAGTTGGCTATTCTGTATATAACTAGTGTCAGTTGTTATATTGTTCCTACAGTTACCTGCACTGAGTATCAAGAATACTAATTAGAAAATGAATACAATGGAAACAACAAATAAAACTCTGAAATGGATAATTCGAACCTCAACTTCATATGACAACTGACACAAACGCGAGGACAAAGAGTAGCCAACTCAGAAAAAATACATGTGATGCTAATAAGATTTTCATTTCTATGAACTATATAATTAATACAGCAAATAAAATTAGAAATGCATAATATAAACATCAACTACATATGACAACTGACGGAGACAAAGAGTAACCAATTTAGAAAAAATACACGTACTGCTAATAAGATTGAACATTAACTTCATATGACACTGATGAAGACAAAGAGTAGCCAACTCAGAAAATATACATGTGCTGCTAATAATATTCTCATTTCTATGGAGGATAAAATGATAATAACTTTCAAACAGCAAATTAATCTCAAAAATGGATACTACAAACATCTACAGCTCACACAAATGACAAAAAAACTAGCTAACTCAGAAAAAATCAATCATGAGTGTCATAACCACCTCTTAGAAAATCAAATTAAATTACTTTCAGTTAACTAGTTTAGTGATCAAATAATTTTTCTAAAGGTTGGTTGGGTAGCAAGATCAATTTTTTTCCTAAAAAAACCAATTGTTTCTTGCCGACGTTTCGAATTTAATTAAATTCTACTTCAGGGCTCGAAAAGTAGTTTCTTCGTGTTGCTAATATTTTACTCCTATAAAGAAGTGTTGAAGCGAGAATTCGTAATCTGCGCCGGTAAGAGAAGCAACAAACCCTACTTAACGGTCTATTAATTTTCGTATTATATAATCTGTTATTCTTAACACTCTGTATAGACAAGTATATTTCTTGGGATTATGCCTCGTTTACTGTAACAGCAGGAAAATAGATACTTTTCATAGTTCTCTAATTTGAAAATTATGAACATAGGAAAGTTGTACAAAATACCAGAGACTTTGCATTCCATTTGCTATGGAGTGATAATAAAAATGAAAAAATTTCAGTTCTCAACACCAAAAATATTAGATTGGCACCATTGAGAATTTCAGTTTGTTTTCAACACCAAAAGTATAACGTTGGCGCCATTGATGAAACTTTTTCGCTGTTTGGAACATCAAGTATTTTGATATTTTATCAATACTTTTTTTTTTGGAATATACTAGGTTTGCTTTTCTCACAAATATTCCTGATATTTGTGATGCACTGTTTGGAACCTTTGGTGTAGTAATGAAATTTTGTATTTTTCTACCTTGTGAATTATCAAAGACAGAATCATTCAAGATATCCATGGATGTTTTGTTATATTTTAGATGGTTTGAACTGAGCATCTTAGTGTTGAAAGATACAGAACGACAAATTACTGTACAGACTTTCAGCCAAGCTACTCCTGTGCCTGTAGATGAATTTCTAAGGTCTATCACTCCGGAAAATAAAACCCTCAGCACCCAAGAAAAGTTGGCCTCAATTGCACAGGTTGGTTCAAACTTCATCAAAACGAAAATGGTTTAATAACCGCATAATTGTTACAGGCAAAAGGTAACTGGCAACAACATATTTCTGGAGTTTCTAGAAAGGAAGTTATTCTACTGGCTGCTAAAACTCTCGTGAGCTTGTATAAAAACAAACTCTCGGCTAGAATTTTCTGAAGATAATTTGAGCCATCTACTTACAGAACAATTGAATTGAAATCTATTCAACAAAATAGGATTGTCAAGAGTATTTTTTGCACGGTCATGTGCCACTTACTGTATGAACAATGTAAAGAACTTCGAATCTACATTTCAATCTCGTACTTTTTTCAATATTTCTCTAAGAATTTACAAATAAAAATTTTTTAAATAAAAAACATGTTTTTAAATCAAATCTTTATTATTCCAGCGCTATATTATTTCATTTTATATACTCACTTCACAGCTATCCAAAATTCCTGTAACAAAGAACTAATATAACTTCAATTATAATGAAACAAATCCAAAATATACACAATATGAGAAATTCAGTGAAAATAAAATAACCACTCACTCATTGAAATTCAGACTGGGGCGGTAATAAACCTCATCATTAGAATGTTAAAAAAATATTCTAGTCTCCTAAAGGCATTAATAATTATCCTCTCAAAATGGGCTTTTGATGGAAGACAACACAACTTTTCAATCCTTCCATAGAATTCAATTTCAATCAAAGTAATGTGAATACTGAAGAAATTAATTAATTCGAAGCTTATTCCATTTTTTCTTATTGTTACATAATGACACTGTTGGAGAAATGTACTCTATTTATTATTAAAGATTTCAATTTTTAATCTGAAAAATTTTTTTTCAAGTATTGCATTCCAACAGATTTGTTTCTTTGGATTGTATTCCTAGTAGAAAAGTTTTGATAATAAATCACTAAAGTTATTGATCATCAGGCCCCTAATGAATTAGTTCGACAAACTTTTTTGTTTGCGGAATCACAAAAAAAGAATGAACACTAAACTACTTTTCAATTGGTAAAGCACGCTTCTATTCAAGAACATTTTATTTCGTTATCAAAAAGTTATCACACAAATAACTGAAATGGAAGATGAAACACCTCCGAGTAGAATAAATAAAAAACAAGCACTTTTCCTCAACACCAGAACTGTATAATTATTCTTGACTCGCGTTTCACCAACCAAGTTGGCGTTCATCTCCTGGTGTTTGGGAAAAGTGCTAGTGCCGGAAGTGACTCTGACTGAATTAAATGTAACAAATCAAAAAGAGAGCAAAAAATCAGAAAGTGAGCAAAACAATTACCATTCTCTCTGCCGAGGGCCACATATGATTCAAATCCACTGAATCTGAAAGAATAAAAAACATTCAATTACTATATCGTCAATAAAAAATCGTGTTGTTTCAGAAGATCTAACAAAAATCAGACCTGTTGAGCATGAATTTACAACCATCACCATTATTCAAGTGTAGATAATCTCATCATAAACCAGTGAAAGCATTATGTGTATGGATGACAATGCCTCCTCTTCATATAATTTTAATATTTTCTGCATTGATTTATATAAAATAATAAATATTCCAAACAGAGAAACAGAAAATTTAGAAAACAAATTAAAAAATCAACCAAGAGCATCCACTCAGATTCAAAGTAACTCATTAAAGGTAATAAAATATGTGATAGATACCTTTTGGAAAAATTGTCAGGGAGTCTTCAGAAAAACTGTCACTGCGGTACTCTTAGGAACAGATCTGAAAATCGAAAATAACAATATGAAATCAATATTCAATCTAATACCATGATTTTAATTCTTTGTAATTTTCAGACCTGTTGAGCTGATAATATTACTTCCCTCATGAATATTCTGGCGTAAATAATGTCATCATGTAAAGATAATAAAATACCAAATGAAAGCTGTTACAATTCTCTTGATTCCTCATTTATATCAATTTATTATTAAATATTCCCAGGAAAGTCTACAATAGTTGAAGAGAACTGACCGATACTGGATGAAAATCCATATTAAAACTAATTAATACAGTTTATTGCAACGGTCAGCAACAGGCGGACCGCGAAAAGTCAAACCTTGGACCGCCAAGTATACCAAGTATAAATTATTAACGTAGATAAGGTATACAATTCCTTAATTAAATGAAAAAATATATTTAAGCCACCCATTCAAAGCCAATCTCCGCCCTATATCTTTCATACCAACCATCGCAAAAATCATTGAAAAATTAGTTAAAAAACGACTACTTGGATTCATAAATAAGCATAACATCAGTGAAAATCAATTCGGCTTCCAGAATAATAAAAATACGCACGATGCAATTTTCTCATTTCTGAATAAAGTTTATTCTGAGATAAATGTCGGTGAAAATACTGCCGCAGTATTTCATGACCTGTCAAAGGCATTCGACTGCGTTGATCACAAAATACTGCTGAGAAAGCTCCAACGTTATGGATGCAGAGGAGAAACTAACAAATGGTTCGATTCCTACTTAATGGGATTGACGCAAATGGTCAAAACTTCTCAACTTTCAAAAAAAAGTGACATTAATTCTGGAGTTCCAGAGAAGGTTCTGTGTTAGGTCCCATTATTTTCTTTTATAAATTAATGATCTCACCAAGCTTAACATTTCTGGGAAGTTCACCTTATTTGCAGATGACACTACCATACTTTGGAATAATAAAAACACTTGTGAGTTGCACAAAATAATCTCTGCAGACTTGAAAAAAGTTAAAGATTGGTGTGATTCAAACTAAAACAAATTTATTATCATTTAGATTCTCAATCAACGAACTTTTTTTGAAGATAGATCACTGGAATCTAAAAATAACACTAAATTTCTAGGAGTCTTCATTGACCAGAATTTAAAATTTGTGGATCATGTTGAACAACTCACCAGAAAAGTCTCCTCTGGCTGTTATGCGGTTAAAGTGATTTATAGGAAACCTTAAACCAAGAGACTCCTGTAGAACCTTCTTCAAACTACATAATATTCTAACGGTAACTGCATTATTTATACTGGAATCTGTGTGTTTAATAAATAAGCAAATATTAAATTTTGCTGCATCCTCTTCCCATTACAACACCCGAAACTGCAGACACACTCTGAAAATCACTGTGCCAACTAAAAACATTACCAGAGACTCCATATTTTACAAAGGTGGAAAAAAGTACAACCATTTACCTATGGACATAAGATCTGCCAACATAAATGACTTCCAATTCAGGAAGTTATATATTCCCTATTATACTTTGGATGAATATTTAAACGATAGCTTTTAGCTGACTTACGCATATTTTTTTATCTTTATTCATTAAGGAGCTCTTAAGTTGTTACTTTTTATGTTTACTATTTTATAAACTTTTATATCCTCCATTTTAACGTGGTTTGTACCTGTGCACTATTTATATTTTTATTTCAGTTGGTATGTATTGCATTTTTTTTTAAGTACAAGCTTTGTCTGCAAGACTATGTCTTATGATAATAAAGCATATTATTATTATTATTGAATTCAACTCAGTACTCGTTTTATTTCGAGTTTCCTAGATAACCTGTTTTACAAGTACCTACAACTGATATAGTTTGATTAGTTTCCCATCTAGCCTGACTAAAGAACAAGTAACCTTCTTGCAAAACTCAAATACGCAGAAAACCAGAAAGCACTTTTGAGTTCATAACAAGCGCAATATGCTGGTTGTGGCTTTTCTGAAAGATAATTTGAAATACTTGAATGCGCTCAACACAGAGTTACAAGGAAATGTTAAATTAATATGGGATATGATACAAAGAGCGTCTTCTTTTCGTCGCAAACTGGATATCTTTGAAAGCGATATGGCAAAACAAAAATTCATCAATTTTCTAACAATTCTTAAATATAAAAATAATTCAGCTATTGAGGATCTGGCCGATCAATGTAGCGGCAGAATGGACAGATGTGACTGTCAAGTTGTTTAATATGTCAAAGCCATCACTTCAAATAGAGAAAATTGATTTTCAAGATGTGTCTTTGCAAATGTATGAAACGGTATCGTAATGAGAATTTTAGACCAAACATGTCTCAGAAAAATATGAAAATTGCAAGAAACTAGCTTTAAATGTATCCACTATGTTTGGTTCGACATATGTATGTGAAACATCTTTCTCAAAGATGCATTTTTTGAAAAATAAATATCGTTCGAACGAACACCCAATAGAAGACCCACTTCGAATTTGCTGTTCCTCAAGAACCAAACTGGCTCAAGACCCTCGGTATAGTTTCTCACATTATTTTAGGTCTTGTGTTCTATAATTCAGAATTTGATTCGAAACCAAAATAATACATAGGTAGAACTTAATTTTCTGGATTTTGTAAAATTTTCCGCAGCCTCCGGACCCCACCTAAAACTACTTACAGACCCCTAGTTTTTGTAAAACCCTTTAGTGGAAATCATACAATAAACTGTATTAGTTAGTTTTAAAGTATACAATTTTATATAGCCTAACCCACATTATTCATAAAACAGAAAAATAGGGCAAATATATATTTAATTTTCAGTCAAAATTAAACAGCTTTATTAATAGACAGACTATAATAGTTTCATGAAAATATCAAAATATATTAATAGTTATAGTGGATTCTTTGAAAAATAAGGTGAGTGTTCAAATTTCGAGGGCCAGGTACGTTCGACTTAAGTTGATTTTTTATTTTTTCATATTTGTACACTCGTCTCAAATACATGTTCATAGTTTTAGTTGTTCAGACTGTCAGAAACATTCTGTTACTCAAAAAATTCGATTATAAATTCAACGACTTTTCCCATTTTCACAAATTTGGCCAATAAAAATATTTACTAAACGTATACATATATAAAATCAAGAGTCCCTTTTACCACAGTATGGTGTAGTGTTTCACGAAACGTACCATTTCAATCTTTTCAAATCCGGTTGCGGTGCCCTCTGATGATCAAACGGGAAATGCTGAAATAAAAATTTGTATTTAGTTCGCAAGTTAATTAACAACCAATCAACTTGAATAGAAAAGTACATTTCAGATGGCCGTTCTATTTGTCTTCAAAATAAGTCAGAACAGGTCTGTGAAGAACATTCATCATTAATATTGAAATGCTATGAAAATTCGTATGTAAATTTCAGTAAAACTGGAAATATTGAAAAATTAATTCAGTGATAGCTTACTATTTTATATTTTCAATCTAATACAGATGTTCATGCATTGCCTCAAAGAAATGCCAATTTATTTGGGATGAACAAAAAAATATTTTTTATACATACATATAATATTCAAAAAAGTGTATTTTTTAAGTTGATTCAAAATGTTTCAGATTTTTTTCCAAATATTTCATAGAACTGAATCCAAGGGATAAGGTGAAAAAATGTATTCAGTCTCTAGTAAAAAGAAACTGACTTACCTCTACATATATCGATTCACAGAGGCTACTCACACATATTAAACCTGAAAATAAGAAAGCAAAATCAGTTGGACCAATCATTATAAATATTCAACTTCTTTATGCAACTATGAATCAGATGGCCGTTCTATTTGTCTTCAAAATAAGTCAGAACAGGTCTGTGAAGAACATTCATCATTGAAAAAAAATAGAATAATAAACTAGAATTTCTGGACGAAATAAACATGTTTCACCAACCAAGGAGGTTGGTTAAACGCGCGCCGAGAAGAGTATTGCAGTTCTTGTGGGAAGTGTGTTTTTTTTTTATGACCAAATGAAAAATTTAAAGCAGTTTGACAGCTTCTAGGATAGTATTCTTTTCAACACTTTAGCTGCAAATTTTAAAGTTGAAGGTTAGTTAGTATCTTCTTCAACAGAAGGTACTAACCTTCAACTTATATTTAGTGGAAATATAACATTTCCCATAATTTTACAAACTATACGTACCTCAACATCAATAACATCATGTAGGAGCAGTAGTTTGTAACAAACTTCCAAAAAGGGATCTGAAATTGATGAAGAATATATCATGAAAGCGTCAAGCTCAGATTCAAGAAAATCTCAGTATTCAAAATAATATATCAGACATCCAAGGAAGTTCATTCTTCATTTCATTCAGTTGGCAACATCAGTGTCATCATAATTCAAGTAATTGAAATTGTCATCAACTTTTGTATCTTTGGTTTCATGAAAATTAAATTTAAATCACATTTAAGTCTTTCATAATTTATAAAAAGAAGGAATGGTATTCATAAAAACAAAAATCTCTAGAGGTCAGACAAAAATTTGTTCCATTTCCAAAAATATTACCTTATATAATAAAGTAATGATAAAAGCTTTCTGATTGTTTCAGCCTTTACTTGATGAAGATCCATAGTAATTTCATAAACAAACCTCGCGATTTGATCTCTACAAACTTTATTTCAAAAACATATCACAACATGTCATGATATTTATCAAATAAAGTTTGTAGAGATCAAATCGTGAGGTGTAGTTTATGAAATGACATAAGAATTTTTTTTTCCAATACGCACCAAGTATATTATTGAATTCATCTCACAATAATTCTGTTTATAGGCTTATGTGTTATTCTAATTGATCAAATTCCTTACCGCATTTTTAATCTCATGTCTACATCAAACAATTTCTTCAACTTTGGTCAACTAAAATTCTTCGGTATTTTTTAAATCTATTATTCATGAACTTTCAAGAAGAATTTCCAGTTGTACCAATATCTACACAAATCAATAAATAATCGACAAAAATTAAATTTAAATTGAAGCATAGGTCATTTCTGAATGTGTTTTGTCTGTACATGTAAACTATTTTGGAAAATTAAGGTTAATTTCAATAAAAAATCGACCTTTCTGAAGACTTTTCATAAATATGATATACTTGACAATAATTTATTCACTCCTCAAGATAGACGACACATATTCAGTTCCAAGTCTCATAGAATTTCGTTTATTTTCGAAAATTATTAAATAGTTTAGTGTTCTTACAATGTAAGAAGATAGGTTATAAGATGGATAATATATCAAAAAATTATATCCCTTGAAACATAATTCAATTATCCTTCCATTAAAATACTAGTGATGAAAACGAAAATATTTCTAGCCCTACTTCACCATGACTGTACAAAAGATAATACACACTTACCTTGAAATTGTCTGACGCCAATAACAGCTACATAATTCTTCCAAAATATATCTGAAATAAAAATTCACCATGAAATCTTCAAGCTCAATTGCAGTTAAATCTACATATTCAAAAAATAATGTATCAGACATCCAAGGAAGTTAAAACTTCATTGTATTCAGTTGGCAACATCGATTGTCATCATAGGTATTTTCTGTTACAGACAACTTTTTAAGTTATCAAATATCTGTTTAGATAATAATCACTTTGATTTTAATGTATAAAAAAAACACTCAATGAGACTTTAAGCATTACAAGATGCTATAATGACACGAAAAACGTATCGCGGTTTTGTGAACTGTCGAGTGGAGGTCTCACATAGAAGTTTTTTTTAATTCATTAAAACATAAGTAATCATCAAAACAGATATTTGATACCCTTAAAAAGTTTCTGACCTGTATTGAGGCGCCTAAAAATGCTGACGCCTTTATTGTGACGCCTGGAGATGCTGACGCCAGTATTGTGACGCCTGGAGATGCTGCCGCGGTTTTCCAAACTGTCTAGTGGAAATCTCACATTTTAAACTGTTTTTGGACTACGTTATAACGGATTTTCATCAAGTAACGGTCAGGTTCATTATATAATTTTGGTTTTACCTGCCAATAAATTTGATTAATTTTCAACTAAAGCAACGAATTGGAGAGATTTTTTTTCAATTCATCTTCATAACCAAGTTTCATTAGAGAGAAAATATTAAAGATTTACTATGAAATACTGGCAAAAAAGTAACGATTTTCCTTAGATTTCATCATAATTTTTCATCCAAATTTTCGAAATAACAATCATTAGTATTAGAATCGCCCACAATGTTTTGCAACGATCAATATGTAGAAAACACTGGACTCACCATTTGCAAGATTCCTTTTTCAGCTTAGTTTTTATCCAACCAATCAAGGAAATTCTCATCAGCTGAAATTAAGACAAACCAGATATAATTCAAAGTTACAAAAACAACATTTATAGATTTAAGTGCTTCAAGTCAGAAAGACTAATCGATATAGATTCATGGATTCTATCTCATACGGAGTAAACTTCATCATAATAGAATTATGACAACTTCTGTATCAAGTATTGGTCCGTTTTATTATATAACTTTGGTTTTACCTGCCAATAAAATTGATTATTTTTCAACTAAAGAAACGAACTGGAAATATTTTTTTTTGTAATTCGTCTTTATGACAAAGTTTCATCAGAGAAAAAAAAATTCAAGATTTACTATGACATACTGGCAAAAAAGTAATGATTTTCCTTAGATTTCATTTCATCCAAATTTTCGAAATAACAATCATTAAGTATTAGAATTGCCCACAATTTTTTGCAACAGTCAATATGTAAAAAACACTGGACTCACCATTTGCAATAGATTCCTTTTTCAGCTTAGTTTTTGTCCAACCAGTCAATGAAATCCTCCTTATCTGAAATTAAAACAAAACCGATATAATTCAAAGTTGCATAAACATCTTTTATAGATTTAAATGCTTCCAATCAGAAAGACTAATATAGATTCATGGATTGTATCACAAGCATGCAGGGTAAATTTCATCATGATAGAAATATAATTTCCATACTAATTAAAAAAAAAATTATTACCTTTATTTTCTTGATCTGCTTATTGATGCTGCTGATTGATTGTGCTGTTCACATCTAGAAAAAATTAATAGGTTAAAATAAATATTATCAAATAACATATATATTTTATAAAATATAAATTTGAAATTAAATGTTCATTTCAGAGAGATAATAAATTTCTGGGTTTTCAGGCAAATACAAATATTTGCAAGCAAACTGATTTGAGTGTATAGTTTGTACTATTTGTCAATTACTTAAAAAAGAGGCATTAAAGACAGAAACTGAACGAGACACTAATGGAATTTCCAAATTGGTGAATATAGTTTGTAGGGATATATCAGAATACTAATTATAATCAGGGAACTTCTTTAGGTGTCCTAAGAATTACTCATCATTTATAACACCTACAAACATATTTTGAATTATCTACAGACTGCATTAATGAAAAAATATTACCCAAATATGCAAATTACCTTAAAAACTGCAGAGTTACTCATATCTATGGTCAGCAATAGCATCTTCTTCATAGCCTGTAAACAACACTATTTAATAAAATTTCATTAATTCCTAGAGAATAAAACTTTAGTTAGTTGAATTTATCAGAAAAACATATTTTTTTTAATCAGGGTACATCTTTAGGTGTCCTAAGTTTACTCATCATGAACAGTAACAAAATATTATGGTAGTAAAAAATCAACCATTATGAAATGAATTAAATTTTTTGTAACAAGAATAATAGTTTTTTTCAATCAAGGTAAATCTTTGGGTGCCCAAACTTTACTCATCTGTATAGTTTCAAAATACTAATGTAGTATAAAAAACCATTCTGTAACAATTTCAATATCCTCGTATCAAAAATAATCAGAAAAACTTTTTTTAATCTTGATATGTCTTCAATTTTCCAAAGTTTAATCATCTGAAGAGCCTCAAAATATTATTGTAGTATGAAAAACTAACCATAAAATGAATGTGGGAAGTAAAACCTACCTTATTACTTTCAATTGCCTTTTTGTAGAATCACTCTTGAATGTTTTCCTGCAATATAAAAATTTGGGTAAATATATGCAAGAAGCACAAGTCCAAAGTAGTTTTTCGCTTTAAAAATTCAGAAAAACTAGATATAATCAGTGTACATAATTAGGTGTCCTAAGATTTACTCATCATGTCAAGTTTTTTAATATAATTAGGTAGTTCCTCAGGAAACCAATGTATTTCATAAAACAACAAAGTTTTGAACATAATTATGCATTACTTAATTGCATGTGGAACTGTTTGTACAGCTTCTTCAATACAGTTCTTCTAAATATTTATGACATGAACTTCTGTAATCAATTACTATTTAAATTTTATGTTATGAACATTCTTGTGTCTTGGGAATAATAAAGATCATTATATCTCCGTAAATATTTAAGGATTATAATATAAATCGCATACTTTTTTCAAAGACTTTATTGAGTACTTTTCCTTTTATTCTTTCATTACTTAAATCTTGCAATGATTTAACATAAGAACACGAGTCACGATTAGAGAAAACGAAACCTGGGTTAGTAGACCACGTTTAAATGTTTGTATCGAATTCATAAATGATATGCTTCCCGAATATCTCAAAAGATGAAATACAGTTCTCAAGTAACAGCCGTCCATATAATACAAGAAATTCAACTGATATCCAATTAAATAACACAAGTTTTGGACACAATCAATTATCATATAAAGGCTTGTAAAATACTAATTTGCCATTAGAAATTGAAATTTGTGAATATTTAGAAAAGTGGGTTCAATTTTTGTACAAAATCATTGATTTTTGAGAATAGTTTGACAACTGTACCAAAATATTTATTATTTGAGAGTCTGCTTGAAAATAATATAATTCATGTTATTAACCAATTATAATGATGTTTGTATTGTGTTGTATATTTTTATCCAATACTTTATGAATACAATTCCATAATAGTAGGCACTAAATTCTAACTATTATTGTATCAAACGAAAACGTTGTCAAGGTTGTGATTATATATAATTTATCATCATATTTCCTCATCTGTTTAGTATAATTTTTGTATGCCACTGCAGGAGACAGATCAAGGCAAAAACTTCAGTCATTTCAGATAATTTATTGCCTACTATAATATACCTAAATAAACTCACTATTATTATTGATATTATATCCAAATGGAACTACACGGGAAATTACACTTACCGTAAAATAGTTCCTATCTGGTGACATCAACACTAACTTCAAAACTTGAAATTCCAAATTCGATAAGATCAGGTGAATAAAGTCAGAAAACACTACTTTTCGGGCGTGAAACAAAATCCCCCATTAGTATGCTTTCTATTTACCCAGGACACTATTACATTCAGCATGAGTAAAACAAAATTTGCTTTTTCTTTTTGCCATGGAATTTAAACCACTTATGCTATTTTGTTGAATTTAGCGGGAAGTTTTGCCTGATTCAAGTGGGACTCTTTAAAAGTTCCACAAGAAACGCATCCCTCAACCACCTGTTACCAAATACTTTTCTGTTCAGGTACTCCCCTGGGTTAGAGCAATTTACTAAAATAATGGAAATTTAAGTTTTGAAGAGAGATATTAGATTTCTTGTGTGGGTTCTTATCCATCACGAACACTGATGTACTTGCTCGAATGTCCAGACAAGCTAGAATGAAAAATGAGATTAGGTAGTGATAAAAGTATGGACTCGATGAATTTCAGTATTGCTGAATTCAAAATCCTTTTGGCAAAAAACATAGTTATCTGTTAAGTGTCAGAGTACAGATAACTTCATTTGTGAAAAGTCGCATCATTTATAATATAACTAGTACATTCATGAAAGTATAGCGAAGAAAAAATTTTAAATTCATGAATTCAATTCAAGATAATGTTTATAGAAAGAAATGTTACAACACAACAGAAGAAATACTGGTAATGAATCAGAGAAAATCGTCCACTCATTGAATTTCATTTAGTTCTGTTTTAATATGGACATAAAATTCATAAAATTTCTACAAGTAGTTCTTATTAAACTTGAAAAACTTACCGCAAATCAAATTCTTCCATGGCAATTCTTGAAATGGCAATCTATAACAGCCTGGAACAGAAAACTAAGGTTAAAAATTGAGAAACATTCAACTCAATTACTTTGTTAATACTACAAATTTCAGAATCCTTTTGGCAAAAAACATTGTTATCCGTTAAGTGTCAGAGTTTACAAATAACTTCAGTGTGAAAATTTATCATCATAATAAAAAAACTGGAAAGTAGTAAAAACAAATATTAAAGTGAAAATTTACCTCATCACTCACTAACTGCGAGATACATTCTGGCTATTAGTTCCCTGAAAGAAAAAAAAGCGTTGAAACATCTGAGATTCTTTCAATTACAAACATCCATCAAGATGCTTGAACAATATAAAAAAAATAGTATGTGGGACGAGATTATATAACCGAGGAGCTAGGTATGAGTAAGATCTTTGAAAGATGTTTTTCCTTGAATTCGGAACATATGGATTAGTTTTGTGTCGAGTTTCATATTGTCTTAATTCATGTCTATTAACATGTCTTATAGTTTAGAGAGAGTTGTCTGATGTCTACGAGTTGATGTTTCTTTATGAGTCGGTCGGGTTTGTTCTTTTTTTGAGATGGATTATTTTCAATACTTATTTTTATGCTTGTTCTAGGCGTTTCAGAAAAGTTGTGTTTGCTACTCCCCAAGAAATTATTCCGTATGTGAGGTGGGTTTAGAAAAATGTATAGTATAGCATTCGCATTTGGGCTGTTTGTATGTATAGTTTCAAGTATTTTAATCTACATGTAACGAATCGTTAGTTTTTTGACTAAGTAATCAATATGTTCATCCCATTTTAGATGAGCGTCAATATATATATCAATTTATCTACTGATGAAACGGAAAGTTCTACGTCATCGTATTTTATTGAAAGCGATTTAAAATCTGGTAGATTTTTAGCATACGAAGTGAAGGTAATGTAAAATTTTTTGGATATATTTATACTCAATAATTTACTTTCGAACCATTTAATTATCGTTTTGAAATTTCTTTTTTTTACTTTTTCTTTTAATTTTTTACGCTTTAATAAATGAAACAAGTAAAATTACAATTTGTCCCATTATCTGAAATACAATTAAACAATCATATTAGGTTGAATTGAATTCCTGAATTGAATAAAAGGCTTTTTTTAGTAAATCATCTTTTGATTTTTTTTTAATAATCTCTCCTCAAGGAGCCTTATGGTCACTGGAAAGCAATTGAAGAAATGTACACCATTGTAGTCAGTTCCTTTTCTGCTTCTATTCAATCTATGATATTCAGGCATAATGTCCTGGTTGTGCATGCGAGATTCATAATAATACGGAAGCATCTCCTTTGTAACATAAAATTTTCTTCCGAATGGAAAGAGTGACCCCAGCTCAGCACAGGATATGTTATGTTTCAATAAAAATAACCATATTAAGCTTACATAATAGTTTCTCTAGATACAGTAGTGTTCTTATCATAGACGATAGTTGAATTATGATCCGACCCACCCAAACAGCAAGTGCCTGGGACTCTATTATTACCAAAGCGGCTTTGCTACATATATTGAAGCTTCCTCCAAATGAAAGATTGTTGACTAGTAACAACTCCATCTCTTGAACAGAGCCTCAAGCGGAGAAAACATACCATGTACCATTACTCTAACAGAGATGCAACTGTGTCTGAATACTATTTATTTGTTAATCAATATTTAAAAGCCCTATGTCTTTGAACTTACATTTACAAATTATATTCCATAATTTTCTTCAGAACTGACCAATCAGTCATCGATTTCAGACTGGGGCGGTAATCAAATCATCACAGAAAATCAAAAATATTAACAAAAAATTTAAAAATTCGATTCAATCAACTCACCATTTCATCATTGTCCTTTCATCAGATGAATATCAAGCGCCTTGAACTATCTGGAATAAAAACATTGAAATTATTCTGAGGATTCTAATTGAATAAAACCTTACTTTAATAAAAATCAATCAATCAGAATCACCAATCAGTCACAAAAATCAGACTGGGGCGGTAATAGAAATCATCATTTGAAGTAACTGCATCCAGCAGTTTTGAGTAGGTGAACCAACTGAAATCAACCAATGTCTCAACGCATTTGTTGTTTTTTTAAATAGTAGATGGCGCTTGCCTGCTTTTAAAATATTATAGTTTTTTTGAAATGTCACTGTATCAAGAGCTATTTCTCTGGTTTGTTAGCCGTGGTCTGCAGCTTTTATGCCTGACATTTCATCGGCAACTGCGTCAGACATCGAAAGTGATAAGTACATACTACTCATACTACATCCTAACAGCACAAACTAGCTGGTATGGCAACTGCGTCAGATATTATTGAAGATGATTAGGCATTAAAGTACTCTAGTTGTTCTCACAATACATACTACCTTGTGCTGGAAGGAGTCATACTACAACCTAACACCACAAACTAGGTAGTATGGCAACTATGTCAGATATTATCGAAGATGATTAGGCATTAAAGTTCTCCAGTTGTTCTCACAGTACATACTACCATGTGTTGTGAGGACTCATACTAGGTTCTAACAGTACAAACTAGGTAGTATGTACTGAGAGGACTTAGTACGAGTCCCCATTGCACAAAGTTCACTCTTTGATCAATGGCCCGACAGAAAGTCACCAGTGCCAACAGAAAATGTCTGTGGAAGGGCAAACTGAATTCAACTCCTTTTCCCTCATGTCAAAATATTTATAATTTGAGGAATTACCCAGGAAGAGCAGTCTCCAGTGTCCTCAAGATAGGAGCGACTGAATTCTGGCTTTACACACTATAAACTTATTTCACTGTAGTGTTAGAAGTCTGGTAAATGCCTACTGGAAAACAACTACTACCCCAGCTAATACCATGCTGAACATTGAATTATATTCAACAGACATTTATACAAGAGTACTCACGTGGGGTTAGTCGTGCAGATGTTTTCAGAATCATGCACATTCATTAGTTGTTTTCAGACAGGTATTTCCAGAACCCACTGTGTAGGAACCGTCGAGAGTTTATTTTGATACAATCATTTTCGTTTTGATCAAAGAAGGCAGAATATCGATTTTGAACAAAGATTGAGGCGATGGAAATTCAGGTATTTTGAAATGTACATACCAGAGCCATTCAAAAAGTACTACTAATAGTAACTTTGTATATAAAACACTTACCTAAAATATTAATTATAATTTCCCAACCGCTTGAAACTGTCCTGTGCAAAACATTCAACGCCTGAAAATGAAGAAAGCAACTTTAGTTGGTGCAATTGATTATTAATAACCATAACCGCTTGAATTATTATTTCAGATGGCCGTTCTATTTGTCTTCACTTGAAGTCAGAACAGGTCTGTGAGAACATTCATCATGTAATTAAGAAATTTTCAAATACCCTAAAAATGCTAATTTTGTTCAATTTGCAATAGGCACCTACTACAAATTTTTTCAAAGTAACAATTGAAATATTTCTACTTCATTGCAATAACTATTTTCTTCAAGTTATTTACAACTGATCTTAATTTTTTAGTATCAAGATTACATCAAAGTTACAACTGCAAAAATTATTAGCTAAATATTATTTTTCACGTTTATATGAACAATTTTCAATTATAATCTTCAATCTGATTTTTCATCTTTCAAGTTTCATTTCTAAATTTATATTCAATTTTAGTTAGTTTATTTTCTACTCAGTCTTAATATAATTTTCACTCAAGGTAACTCTGTGGACCAATAGAACCACCACACAAATAAAATGTTCAGGACAACAAAATAAAAAACTCAACTTACCATTTGCATACCATGTCGAAAGATCTTTCTTCAAAGTAACCATTTTATATACACAGCCTCTCTGTAACAAAATAGATAATATTGTAAAAATGTCAATTTACAGGAAGTTGGATAGAATTTGACAACAAAAAATCAGAACAACCAATCAGTCACAAAATTCAGACTGGGGCGGTAAAAAAAATCATCATGAAAATATAAAAATAAATGATCAAAAGTTCAATGAAACCTTTCAAATCCAAATAACTTATTCATTTCACTCTGAATCATTAAATTTTCCATTTTATACGAGCAGCAACCTGATTCAGATCTGTTTGATATCATTTTTCAACTTTGAACAACTTTTAATTAGAGTAATTTTCAGCTTTCAAGTTTAATATTTACTTCAAAATTTATGAATTTCATTAGTTTGGACTCACATTATCCAATATTATATAAATCGATTTGAAATCCCAATAAAAATGAAAAATTAAAACGAATAGCTGAAAATAATAATCAGATCAAGCAAAAAAAATCCTGAGATGACATTACAGTGAAATAATACACAAGTAAAAAATAGAACAATTAAACAAAAAAAATTAAGGGGTTTATTAAGTATTAGAATTGCCCACAATTTTTTGCAATATTTGATTTTGGAATAGAAGCACCACAAATGAAAAAGTTCAGGACGACAAAATAAAAAACCCAACTTACCATTTGCATGCCATGTCGTAAGACCTTTTTCTCAAAGTAAATATCATATACACATACTGCCTCTCTGCAACGAAAGAGAAAATATTATAAGAATGGTAATTGAAACTAAGTTAGATTAATGATGAAGATGAAAAATCAGAACAACCAATCAGTCATGAATTTCAGACTGGGGCGGTAAAAAAATCATCATGAAAATATAAAAATAAATGATTGAAAGTTCAATGAAAAATAAGAGTTTGGGAATATTCAACTAACTAATTCAGAAAAGTAACGAATGAATATAAATAAATTATATATCTATTGAAAACCCTTTTGCCTCAGTAGAACAAAAAATACTGGCTCTCGTATCATCTCCTGATGATGTCAATTTTGTTAACAAAACGAGCGTCGAGGGACAGGATTTCTGTTCTGGTAAAAAAAAGTGTCCAATAGATTTCATATTTATGAAATAAAAAAAATATCAACTATTATAATCTTTTATATAATACTCGATATAAAACTAAAAATAAACATTAAAACAAAAAATTTGCAAAAAATAAAAATATTTATGATGAAACAAATTAACCAAAACAAATTCATCACCTACTTTTTTGAAAACCTGAACAATCAAAATATAAACTATGAAATGTTACGAGAGTCGAGGAACATTCTGACTTTTATGAAGTTCTTTATGTAACGATCATACCACACATTCATAACAATGTATAAAATAAAAAAAAATTTATTGTATTTATTCCATAATTCACTTACCAAAGAGTCCAGTTGAAATTCTTCAGACATCTCTGCTGGCTGGCTCTACTCAATCGCCCAATCAGACCCAATCAGACTCCCTCCAGGTAACCCCCCCGCTAAACGTTTACTTCCTTTCAATGATTAAAACTACTTATTGATTTGACTTCATCTCAAATGAAAAACTGAATGTTCGTTAAAAAATTTGATATTTATTGTACATACATCCAAAAAACACAAATTACTTAAAATTAATCAGTACCTTAAAAAAATAAATTACACCGTCGCGTGCAACAGATTTTGATTTTTCTCTTTTCCCAAGCTGGCAACCCGACTAAAAAATAAAATAAAAGTAGCCGTAAATTCCTGTATTAGATTTTACTTGATCTGTCAATTGCAATAACTACACAAGATGTTCCAGAGTATCAACAAAAATATAATATATAACAAATTAATAAAAGTTCACAGATTATCTATCGAGTCAAGACGAAAAGAAACCCTGCCAGGTGATACACATTGTAAAAAAGGGAATTTTAAAATAACCTATGCAATACAACCGCGGTACATGCTGTTGGTTACTTTCATTAAATAATCTGTACATAACCTAATTTCCACCATTGTTTACAATTTATCCAGATATTGGGCGAGATCTGGAAGTCCTTCTTTGAGACCCTTTCGTTTACGTGTTTCCTGAAATGAAAATCAAGACATCAATATAATATATTCGAAACATTCAAGCAAGATTGATATATGAAACAAATATAGACTCCTTAATTTCTTTCAAATATATTGTGTCAAAAATATTTTTAAAGTTCATTATGGTTAGAAACTCGAAGCAAAAGTAAAATTAGCAAAGCAATCATTCATTTCTTTGCTGTGTAAAGATCAACTGTTAAAAAATCAATGTAAATACCAGAAAGTTCAACAATTATATATAAACAAATGTTCCTTACCTGCACAATACCGAATGGCTTGGATCCAGCTTCCATTGGATTACCTGGCAACACCTGCCAATGATCGAACACAGATTGAGGGAAAGCTTGGCCACCAGTGTTGGAACGCAAATCAGCAGTGAAACCGAATGATTCGTTGACAGGCAGGTATGCTTTAACCAAGAACATGGGGGTTCCGGCGATTTGGGATTCTTCAAATACGTGACCACGTCTTCTGTTCAATACTCCGTAGATTCCTCCGACAGCAACTTCAGGACACTGGAAGTGAAAAGATCAACTGTCAAACTATTCAATATCAATACGCTTGAAAGGAATAACACAAAATGAAAGCAAAAGAAACTGCCAAAGAAAAAGACAAACAGATATAAAGGGGTAATCAAGAAAAGGATTTGAAAAAACAAAAAAGTCAGAAAAGTTCCAAAAAGTATTGAAATAAAAATATTTATCAAACTCAAAAATTCAATCAACTTGAAAAGAATAAAAAGAGGGCCTAAAACAAATGTAATAGGAAATCAAAACAAAAAATGAATATATAAGTGGAACAATTAGGAAACGTCAGACATGAAATGAAAGATTATAAAAAGTTATTGAAGAGCCAAGAAAATGGGCTTGAAAATAAGTCAAAAAAGTTTTAAAAAAAAAGAGCTATGTTTAAAAGAGGGAAACAGTTTGAAAACTATAACCGAGTATTCAAAAAAAGAAAAATAATGTCTAAGGGCGAGAAAGGATGATTAAATATTAAAAAAAAAGATCAAATAAGAAAAGTACAATGAAAAATAAGACGTAAAAAAAACTCAAACAAATAGAGAAGTTTTCAAAAAGAGAAGAGTATTCAAAAAAAGAAGTTTTAAAAAGAGAAGTTTACAAAACAGAAGTGTTTTTTTAAAAGTTTACAAAAAGATAAAAGTACACAAAAAGAGAAAAGTCTATAAAAAAAATGAAAAGTTTACTAAATGAGAATTTAACAAGAAAAAATTCACAAAATTAGAAGTTTAAAAATAATTATCCATAACACAAAAGTTCAAAAATGAAAGAATAAATAAACACATTTTAGGTGAAGTGGGGTAAAAATTCTACTTAAGCTAGAAAAAGAAAAAATCAGGAGAACCAAGATAGGGAGCGAAGGAAAAACTACAATCTAGAAAAAAGAACCAAATGAATAACAAAAACTAGAAGAAAAGTTAAAAAACAAACAAGTCAAATACTTTGACAAGTCATATATATCAGTTTAAAAAAAACGGCGACTCACCATAATTTCACACTTGTAGATAGGTTCCATCAACCTAGGAGAAGCAGTCAACAGACAAGCATACAAACACCTACGAGTTGTAGGAATGATTTGACCACCACCACGATGGATAGCATCAGCGTGCAAGGTGACGTCATAAATGTTGAACCTAACGGAACGCAAATTCTCTTCAGACAACACACCTTCCTTGGTGGCCCATTGGAATCCAGCGACAACAGAGTCCTTGATTTCATTAAGGTATTGCACTCCCTTGGTACAATCAACGAGGAGGTTGGGTCCGGTTCCGTCGGGGCCGAAACACCAGATCTTACGGGCTTCAGTGAGGTCATAATCGTATTTTTCTCCAAGGTAACGGGCACGGGACTTGAAGTCATCTCTGGGGTTGACTTTGCCGTCATCGATATCTTCGGCGAGACCATCAGGCATGGGACAGGCCTTCATGAACAATCTGAAGGACAACAAAGGAATCAGTCGATTGCAAGAGGTTGACAGTCGCTAAATGTAAGAGCAGTAAAATGCTTGTATGTCCCCCTATTCTGACCAAGGGGAGGATTTACCCCAAGACCGAAACTAAAAGACAATTGATATGCCACCCAATGCGAATGCTACAAAGATATGAAACTATGTAGCATTGTCTATTGGTGGCACAAAATCTCTTCACCCAAAAACTTTTGGAAAAATAATTGTCCAAATATTCATTATGTAATGAAAAAATGAGTACTTCCATTGCATGGAGTACAGTAAAATCAAAACCACAATAATACCTGTTATGTTTGTTTGGCGACTTCGACAAGCACATCTGGTCAGATTCTTCGCTGACCGTTTCACGGTAAGACACAACCGGGTCAGATTTTTTTATGGGAATACAAGCATGGTCTTCTTCCAAATCTTTAAGACAGATTTCCAAGTGGAGTTCACCAGCTCCAGCAATGATGTGTTCTCCGGACTCTTCAATGATACATTGTACCATAGGATCGGATTTGGTCAAACGTTTCAAACCTTGAAAAGAAAACGAATGTCAATGGAAGTTTCAGGATTTCAATTCACAATATCACATCACTATGCCAATGTTACTCTTGATGTACAAGAAAATATGCAAAAGAAATGAGAAAAAATATGAATATCGAGCTTATGCGCAGTTTGGTGGGTTTTTCACCTCATTTATATCTGGTGCTAAAATTAAATTACAAAAGTACCAAAGAAAAACTTCAAAAAAATAAAGAAGAAAAGTAGTGATGTTCTGGCTGTAAGTTGTGATAAGATGATCAGTGACTTGTTTATTCTGAGTTATGGATACGGATATAATCAAACTGCTTACCTTCTACGAGTTTTGGCAAATCGGCAGGGTTCTTCGGTTCCACAGCGACACGCACAACAGGGGACACGCTGAACTTCATGACCTTCAAGTTGTGAGCATCCTTGAACGTACTGATGGTACCGGTCTTTACCAAGAACTGATCGACACCGACCAATCCGCAGATGTTACCGGAAGGTACGTCTTCGATGGCCTCGACATAACGACCCATCATGAGGATTGTACGTTGGATGGCTTTTTCGTACAAATCTTCCCTCTTGCCAGGGACGTAGTTGGGACCCATGATGCGGGCCTTCATACCGGTTGCTACTACACCAGAGAAGACACGACCGAAAGCGTAGAAGCGTCCCTTATCTGAGGTCGGTACCATTTTAGAGATGTACATCATGAGGGGTGCGTTGGGGTCGCAGTTTTTGATTCCTGTATTAGAAATATATTGTGTTGAACTTGGTTTTTGGTATTTACAAATTTCCATCAACTTATATAACTACTTAGTTGAACAAAAATGTTATTTTTAAAATTGAATGTGTGTATTATTCACACCGTAGCATTTCACAACCGGGCATAAAGATAGAGGCCCTGTGAAAGCGTTTAAATGTGAATATAAAAATTATCTTCTTCCATTGCACTGCCAACAGGGTATTCGTTTGATGACGACAACAGGAGCTGCCGCCATGCAAACTGTCCAGTGGCTCTAGTTGTGCTGGAAGATAAGTAAAAAAAAAAGGATGAAGTCTGGAATGACAAATTTTAGATATCGCCCAAATGGAGCTGCCGTCAAATGAAGATGAAAACCAAATTATAACGTGATCTTACCAATGGCAGCTTCGTCGTCTAAAGGTCCTTCATACAACATTTCCATTCTGTATTTCTGGGCAGTTACAGGTGAAGGCAAATGGATGGCAATCATCTGAAGCAAAGCTTCACCAGCTGGCAACCAAGTTCTCATTACAACCTTCAAAAGTTGCTTACCATCCTTGTCCTTGTCTTCGTGTTTCAAATTAATACCCAATTTGGGTAAGAGTGCTTCGTATTCTTCTTTCCTTAAAACGAAATAAAAAATGTTAGATTGGAGATTTTCAAAAATCATTCAAATATTTGGACCACAAAAACAACAGGATGAATATTGGAGAACAGAATAATTGTTTAAAAACCATTAGGAATTTTCATATAATTTCAGAAACATATCCATTCCCCTGAAAAAAATTCAGATTACAAGTTTTTCATGCAAACGTGCATAAATTCTTTGCTGAAGTATCAATTATTCAGTATTTCATGTTTTAGTAACTGCAAAAAATGCAAATCTTAATAAAAATGATGCTTTTTACCTGATTACCCTCAAATCAACAACACAATTAACAACAAATCAATTTCAGATGGAAGGTTCTATACCTCCGTTAAGGTGGCCCCAAACGATCAATCTGCTCGATCAAACGATTGAGTGAATCGATTGACGCGCGCTTCTTCAACCGCTTGATTCATTTAAACTCTCTATCAATCATCATCAAGCCTCGCTTCAAGCGTCAAACAGGTTCCTACACAGTCAATCACGCTCGAGTCAATCAATTGACTCAAGCTATTGATCAAAATGATTGACCGTCTAGGGCCTCCTTTACATTTTCTATCTGTTGACATTTTTTTTTTATAAAAGTAGTTGTTTCAAGAGGTCTTTTTCTTCCAGTTTGTGCCCGAAAGTTACTTTTTTTGCATAATCTACACATCTTTATAAAAGAGTTTGTTCAATGTGAAATTATTTGCTTTATATTTTTCTTTGTAAGATTCCCACATTTTTTTTGTATTAAGATGGAGAAGTAGAAAGCCAAATCCTTTCTGTTCTGTTTTTTTCAATCACGATAGTACTGATTAAAACTTGAAAAAACTGAAGCACCAAAACACTCTTGACTTTTTCAAAACTTTGGATTGTTAATCATAAAAATTTCCCTTGGGTAGTTGCTTTCCTAGCCTATCATCATTTGCTTTGGTGCCTATTGAGAACCTCAAGGATCTATGGCCTATAAGACATGCAGGCAAGATGAATCCCAGTCATAAAAAACAGAAGCATTATGCTAATGTGAAATGCTGACCCTCCGAGATAAATACTCAAAATCCTGTCTTGCAGGTAGTATAACAGGTAAATTACCCTAAAATACTGTGCTAGGGTAAAATGTTGATAAAATGCCTAGAAGGTAGTAAAATAGTAAGTCACCCCAAAACACATTTCCCCAGGTTAAAATGCTGACCCTCTGGGTACTTATAATCTTGTCTGGCAGATAGTATAACAGATAAATTACCCTAAAATATTGTGCTGAGGTAAAATGCTGATGTAATTGCCTTTAGCAGGTAGTAAAATAGTAAGTCACCCCAAAACACATTTCCCCAGGTTAAAATGCTGACCCTCTGGGATAAATACTTATAATTCTGTCTGGCAGATAGTATAACAGATAAATTATTCTAACATATTGTGCTGGGGTAAACTGTTGATGTAATGCCTTATCTAACAGGTAGTAAAATAGATTAAGTCACTTCAGAACACATACTGATAAATACTTATGATCCCCTTTATCCTGAAATATATTATGCTCTCCCAATGAAAGAATAGTATTTTCAGATGTAGGAAATTGATGTTTCAAACCATAATGATGAAATCGCCAAGTAAGAGCCGACAGGGATTTAAGTAAATTATGCTAAACCATTTGCAAACAATGGGCAGGTATTTATTCCCTAGATACTATTGCAATTTGTACATATAATTTTGGGTACTGAATGAGGTTTACAAGTGAAATTTTATTTTTTCTTAAGGACAGAACACCTAATTCAAAATGAGTGGACTTTTTCCGGAACTTGACAAGGTATTAACCAGTGATCAAAATCTACAGACAAAAAGTCAATTCATTATTTCTGAAAGTAATTCAGTTAAGAATCAATTTAAAAAATTTGGATGATTTCAAAAAACATTTTGTACGTCATTGAAAAAAAGTCATACACCGGAAATCCTCAGGGCTTTTCAATTGATAAACATGAAGTGTTTTTCTGATATTAATTTATACCCTTTGCCTCTCAAGACGAATTTCTGCTTCGTAATTTTATTAATTCATAATTTATAACAAATTTCGAAGTATACATCCTGAACATCTCCCCGTATCCTTGTATTCACAAACACACAAACAACACACTAATGTCAATACTTACTTGTAGTTCATGATGGAATCGAAAATCTTGTATATGGGATCTAAGATGTACATGCAGAAGGAACGTTTGTTACCGTCGTCCTTCTGTTTGGACCATTTCTTTGTTTTGGGGTTGAAGAAGCTCTCTCCCCACAACCTGTTCATCAACTTAACGACGTCGATCTTGAACTTTTCAGCATACATCTCAGAGAATTGTTTCAAGGTGAAGGCCCAACCGTGAAGACCTGAACCGAATCCTACTGAACCTTTGCTAGGGTCAACCTTTAAAAGACAATAAGTATATTAAACAGTGCTCAATTTCAAGACATTCCGAAATGTTTTTCAATGAATTTGTATCATTGTAGGAAACTGCAGCGAACATTGAAATTTTCACAGCAGGGCAAAATATGAGTTTAGTATATGAGCCAAAACGATTTCATCAGCAATAATTGTCAAATGAATATAAAATTCAGCTCAATGAAAATATACGAGGATGTATTGATATCTAGTTAGCCTAGACCTCTCACTTAGGTAAATAAAATATTGTGTTATCACAGTAAGAAAAGTTAATAAAAATGTTAATATTCAAATTAACACACCTCAATGCGAGATTTCCATTGAAAGTTTATAAAACCGCGACACATCTTTATAGTATCTTTGACACTATTGTAATGATCGAAAATGATGTCAAGTAGACTAAAAATTTTTCAATGCATTCTCGTACTCTTCTTCATTCAATTCATTAAGAATCAAAGAACTTCATAGTGTAACTCCTTACCCTAACTTCTCCCATTGGACCACCATCATCGTTATAGGTGGCAATGATAACGTTCACATTTTCAACAATACGTTGGAAGGTTTGGAAAAGCTCTTCGGCCTCCAATTGCAATTCCAAGAGAGCTCGGTCCATCTTGTTCATGAACAAAATGGGCTTGATACGTTCAGCGATAGCCTGACGCAAAACGGTTTCAGTTTGTACACATACACCTATAATTGAAACGTTTAATTATATAACACTAAAAAATGTATTGATTGACTTACCAGAAACACAATCGACAACTACAAGAGCACCATCGGTAACTCGAAGAGCGGCTGTTACTTCAGAGGAGAAATCAACGTGTCCAGGGGAGTCGATCAAGTTGATCAAGAAACCTTTCTCGTCTTTCTCACGTTGATCGGGGTTGTTGATAAAGACAATATCTTTGTCTTCAAGTTCGAAGAACATAGATATGGCACTGAAATGTATTGAAATTATATTGAAGCAGACATTAATGAAGTAAAATTAAGTTAATTTTCATTAGTTGGGGGTTACGTGTAATTTCGAAAAAATTATGCATATTTTTGCCAGCTGGTCACAAATTTGAATATCACTCGGATTCAATTCAATAACTACTTTATGAGAAACGTACTGAACAATACATAATATATTACAAAATTACATGATATATTATTTTCACCTTTGAAAGGTTTAAAATTCATGTTTTTTTTCTGATTGAAGCTATCTTCCAATAAACTAACTGGATAAGTATAGTGTAAAAAAAATTGTTGATTATGATGTCTGTGTATATCCTTATTGGATATTTCCAATTAATAGCTTTAGGTTTGAATAAACTCGTTATTACTGGTGTTCTCCTTGTCAACATGGTCCAATAGTTGGGATCAATGAGTGGACTCTCCATGAATTTGGGAACTGATCTTTTTATATTTCACGATTTGAAAAAAATACCACAACAATCATTTGGTTGAAGTGGCAAAACAATGGATATTGATGTTCCTTCGATCCAATGTTCAAAACTGAATGAAATTCCGCAATTTCCATTGTAGTGGAGCATAATTTTCCGCAAACAGAGGCCAAAACTGCCGTTTGGCGAAATAGCATCACAAAGGAAGTGGCACTCCACATGATTGAGGTTGTGTTTTGTACACAAAATAAACCCCCAAAAATTGTTTGGAGGACAATACAAAGAAACTAAGAACAGGTTTTTACTAGAAATGTGTGAACAGCAAAATAAAATGTATAAGATACACCAATAATTTTCAATGTTTGAGATTTCATATGCCATTTGCATTCAAATTGAATGAGTGTCTCGAATTCGTGATCTGTGTAAAAAAGTTATCAACAAGAACAAAATGTGAAGATGGGATAATGAAAAATTGACTCACGTTGATTTGATGGTAATACAACGTTCCTGTTCATCTTTCCTGGTATCAGTAAATCGGGTTTCTCCAGCTTTAGCTCCAGCAATAATACCAGCTTTAGATACAAGGGAGTCGGTAAGAGTTGATTTTCCATGGTCTACATGGGCAATGACGGACATGTTACGGATGTTCCTTTTTTTGTCCATCATGGCCCTGATTTCGTCAACGGTAAAGTTCACCTAAAAAATTTAATAATTGGTTCAATTTCACAATTAAAATAACTTTAAAAACAAGTTGAACAACAATGGTTACATATGGGAGCCCACACTTACCATTTTCAAAATATTACTTCAAAGTTTAATGAAACTGTATTGAGATTAAGCAAAAGTAGTAACTAATAATCTGCCAGTATCGATAAGTGAATAGAAAATAGAACAATTGCAATACATGCAGAAAGGTAAACACGAATAAATCGAGGATTTCATACTGTTGTGCAATCTCCAAAAACCATCATTGAATTAAAAGTAAACATAACTCAAAAATGTTGGCATGGAAAAATGAAATGAGAAAAAGTAAGGATACTTTTGATTTTAAATATTTTTTAAAGTACTCACCATTTTGGATGTTTAAAGATTTTCTTCGGCACTATCAAAACTACGATACGCCAACTATGGCGCACTCCCGTGAAAGAAAGAGAAATATTTCTGCCACGCAGAACAGAACAGGAGACACGAGAAATAGTCACAGATTAGCAGTGATGCCAGATTTATAGCGAATTTCATTCCAGTGATGTCAATCATAGCCAATATAAAGAAAACAAATTTTGGACCAAATACTCCAATAAATAATTGTTTTAGAATTGCTTTGAGAATCTGAATAAATATATCAAATGAGGTTAATTATTATCCATCTTGCATCATACAGAACGGTATCAAAAACAGTGCTGAATTTCAACTTTTGTTTGACTCAAATTATAATAAAGAAAATGTGTTATAAACTAATAGCATACGTTTCAACAAGAAATATATTTCTTAAACCAAATAAATCTTCATTGCGAATATTCGAATATACGTATCTAGTGATCGATTTGCGATGTTACTAATGTATAGGTCTACGCATAGGTGATCAACTGAAATTTAATAACTAGTACGCTTATTTAAATTTTGTCAACTTCATTCGATAACATCGACTACAATTGGACACTATTTATGAATTTCCTAATTCAGCGATTATTCCACGAAGAAATCAGATCTATTAGTTGAATTACTGTATTAGAAATTCTACGTTATATTCAAAATCTCGCCATATACGTCAATGACTCATCGTAATTATCGCATTTATGTCACTGTCGCTTTGCGAAATGATTTGCAGTCTTATCCGTATATATCCAATGGAGTCTTCAATAATACTATCTCCGTATTTTCTACGAATTTCTCGACGGCTTTCATTGATTGAAGGTGAAAATGGAACCTCTCACGGATGATGAATCCAAAACAGACATTGTTACCAAAAAACAGAATGCAACACTCTTTTCGACGCGTGCTTCACCAACCAAATTGGTGTATTCAGGAGATGAAACAGTCGACTTCATTTCCTGAAGTCACTAACTTAGTTGGTGAAGCACGAGTTGCGGAAAGTGTTGCAGTCAGACTTTTCAGTAGTGCTTCGTTCATTCGATCATAATACGCGGAATAATATTCATTTTCGCAGTAGTGAAAAATTACCAGTTAAGAATGAACCATATCGCGTAAGGATTTCAGTTGAAGTACATGTATTTTTTTTTAAATTGTCTACTGCACCGGAAAAAACGAAATCTAGGCTAAAAGGACGTGATCGAATAAAACTTGAAGTACCAAAAGTTTTGTCTGCCACTGCGGCAGACATCATCAGTGGTATGTGAGTCCTTTGCGAGGTCGAAAGTTATTTTTTTGAAGTCTCAACAATCGTTAGTTGCTGAGATTTCGACATATAGCTTTCGTTCTCGAAGTAAATACACATACCACTGATGATGTCTGCTGCAGTAGTAGACGAAACTTTTGGTACTTCAAGTTTCATTCGATCACGTCCATTTAGCCTAGATTTCGTTTTTTCCGGTGCAGTAGACAATTTAAAAAAATACATGTGCTTCAACTGAAATCCTTCCTGATTTCATTCGTCCAAGTTATTTAGTGTGAGAGACAAAGTTTATCTATATTAAATACCTGAAACAACAATTGTATCAATTTTTATAAGAACTTGACAGATATTCTAAAATGTGCATTTGAAAAAAAATCCAATGTATTTGTTAAAGGCTCGGTATTTTGCATATAGTGGCTACCACATAAGAGGTAGATATATGCTATCGCGGACTTTTATTCAGAACTATTTAAGATAAACAATATCACGGTTCATTATCTGCATGTAACTCCAACAGTATAGGCAGCGCACGCCAAGGTAGCTCTCAGGGAGCAAGAATTTTTCCGACTTACCTAATACTTGTCGTTATATTATGACCAAAATCACACAAAACCTGTGTAAATTGTAGTCTTTATGTTATTCTGATGTATAAACTGTATTTATGTAATGTTCCACCTAGATCCGTTCAGTCGTTTAGGCGTGAAAGAGCCACAAATATACAAACATCCACACAAAGTTTCACATTTATATTAGTATAGAAGATTTACTGGATACATTGTGGCTGAATAATAAAACAGAACATACATAGCAAATGTAAATTTTATAAACGTTTTCAATAACAGTTTCAAAATTAAACTCGAACACAAAAAAGAAGAAACACTTCACAGAAAAGCATATTCCTTCGATATTCTGCTGTTGTGAAGGAAAAATTTCCTCCGTGAGAAAACTTGGACAAATGTCTGTTGAAAATAAATGATTCCATAGTGGTATTAGCCAAAAAATAGGCGTTTTCTATTAGACATTCACCAGATTATGTGTAGGAACGATGAAGAAGGTATATATTTCGAACAAACTCGTTTTGATTCCTTTTAGAATTATAGTACGTTCACTCTTTCCTCGCTTGGAGCTCTGTTCACAAGGTAGAACTATACTAGCGCACAATATATTTCGGTCGGATATTTCGTATTTACGGTGGGGCAACAATGAAATCAGTCGAGATCTCTCCTGCACTGATGAGGGATATTTCGAAACTGTTCTGTAGATTCTAACAATAATAACTAATCTACACAACATAAACATATTGAATAAATACAAGACAAGCGATAAGAGTAAATACCTGTTTCACACATATATTACATGGTTATTCAACATATAAACATAGAAATGAACAATACATATATACATATAATAATATAATAAACGACTTGTTGATTAATTGCAGCGATGAACTATAAATATCTGTGAGAGTTTTATTTGTGAGGAGATTTGCACCAATGTCGGAGAAAACCTTATTATTTTTCAAAACTCTAATGCACTACCGAATGGAATTGACTGATATTTCTAGATTTAATAATTATCCACTGATAGTTCGAAACTAGAAACACTACATTCTCATTGTAATATGTTATTTTTGGAAAAATATTTTTTTTACAAAGGTTTTCGATATGACTGAATCGATATAGAGAAAAACTCCTAACTGATTCATTCATTTTTGATTATACTCATAGTGGATCACATGTTTGAATGATTAAGTTTCTACAGCTTCTTGTCAAAAGAAAATCCAATAGTTATCCACAACGTGAAACTTCACATTATTATCTTCCATTTGTAATGATGTTTTCAGGTCAAGTATAACAAAATCTACACTATTTCAGAAACAATCACTGATCAAACACACTAATGCCTTTTCAAAAGAATACTAGCGTTCCGTCGATATTAGGTATAAGTTTTACCGATGATGGCGCTGCTCAAACGATAAACATCTGATCAGAATAACTGAAAGGTAAACATAGGCTATGTTTATTGTTTTGGTGTTATTTTTTTTGTCTAGAATTGTTCAATTGTGAATTCATGAGAGTGATGTTTTGAATGCGATTATTATAAACAAGAGAAATTGATGAATGGGTTTGTTGTTCTCCCCGTGCGGGAACATAAGAAACCACATATAGTTTATAAAATGCTGAAAATGTTTTATCAAATAAGTTGTGAGGATGTACAAAATGAAACTGGGTAATTATTACTTGCACAAATCCTATTCTAATTGAGGTTAGAGAAAATTGAAAAGTTTCTTTTCATTATTGGTTTTGACATTTGACACAAATTGAATCATTCCATTCTGGCGAATCTCATTATTAATGAAAACATGTTCAAATACGATTGAACGCAAAAAAACACCTCATTACAATCCAACGATTCCATGGTCTATTGAAAACTCTACTCATCTCCTGATAATGATAACTTGGTTAGCAAAATGCGCATCGAGAGATAGTAATTTTGTTTCGGTATGGGAGCAATATTTTCAATAGTTTAATTTCATGCCAGAGGTTTCAATTCTACCTTATGAATACTGAATGGAAAATTTCGAGAAACCAACCTAACCCTTATGATTTTTTGGCGAGTACAAAATTTGAAGACTTCATATGATTTTCTATAATTTAAATAGAATTACCTACTAGTTTTTAATTTCATCAACATCGTCAATTTAGTTTGCAATACTTGATTGAACGTTTTCTTTATTCTTGAATTATAAAGTGTGAAAGAAACGTATGGAAATTTAACATGTAACAAAGTGCAGCTGTCGGCATCCTCTAGTTTGAATAAAACATAAATAACGCATGCGCAAATTATCCCTTACATGTTGGTAACATTGGTTGAACAGAATCAGATGATATTCCAGTTTTTAGTTTGTTTCACGCTTTCGGATAGCTTGATTCGTTTGGCTGCGTCATCTGTTAGTGCTTTGTGTGCGTGTTCAGCTCAATAATTTTTCACAAAACTGTGCCATTTATGACGAACATTTCTATTTGGTTATTGAATTTAAATCGAAACCATTTGAGGTGAGTGTAGAACGAAAAAAATACGAAAATAGGCATGTTTGTGAGCTCAAACTATTACCAAATATGTCTATGAAAGTTCCACATACTGATATATACATTTCGAATCCTTATGTTTGAATATAGTGCTTTACAAGAAAGTTTTGCTTTTTCGTGGAAGCTAATAAATAAAATAGAGTTTATAGTCAAGTGAGGACTTTACTCATGAGTAGAGAGATATGGAAAACTGGTTCTTTGTTTTTCAACATTGCCCGCATCTGTTCAGACCACACAGAAAGAGTCATCATATTCTGAGCTGTTTATTAACCATTATACTGGATATCAAATAAAAATGAGTTGGATTAAGAGTGTCCTTTGTTTTTTTAAAAACTATTCACACGTGAAAAATTCTACTTTATCTCAATCAACTTTCAAAAGATTTTCTCAAAAAACGTATTTTAGGTTTCTATTCATAGATTAATGTATGAATAAGAGAAATGAATAGACCATATGAATAGACCATTTGAATAGATACCTACTACCTACCACTAACATCCTTAGGGAAACATTTCCTCCTCAATTTGTAAAATTCTTTATTCCAATTGAGCAGAAAAACTGTAGGACAGGTGAAAAATACTGATATTTACAACAAGAAATAACTAGTGAAGGACGAAGGACAGTATAAAAAATGGAAAAATACACTGAAAGTTCAAATATTAGAACATATGAACAGTGATGCAGCAATTTAACCTATGTTTTTTATAATAATATACTTCAAGATATTTTTGTATGAAGTAAAGGCATAACTCAAATAGGTTATTTCATTTCTATCAGGCACCCTGTTAATGCTTTTGCCAAGGCTTTTGCAATATAATCAATTCTTGATTGAACTTGCACAACATAGTGTTAAATTTAGAATGTCGGGGAACTGAAAACCATATTGTGAATGATTCAAATAATATGAATCCAAGAATTTAACTTTATCAGTGCTATCATTTCAGACCTCTTTGATGTTGATATGTATCTAATAAACATAAATTTTCATTTGTATGGACCTTTTAACTTTTTTATTTGTGATAAAGAGAAGAATCATATTGAAAGACCAGATTGGAAAATTTTCAATTAAAGTAGTAGATTTTATTGCTGCTATGGTAGAGTCATGATTATTATAAACACCTTGTTTTTGTTAGAAAATCATTCAGATTGTCCAGCATAACCTTATTCTTCTCCAATAAGTTATTACTTCAAAACTACTTACTACCATTTCTGGAATTACAAAATCAACAATTCTTGTTTTTCTTTTCGAATATGAAATTCTAATGAGATTTTCAAGTTTGCTGAAGATGAATGATGAAGAAATTCACCCACAGGTAGAGCTCATAGAATCAAACAGAATCTAGGAAAATACCAGTTTTCAACTCATCAGCGGCATTGTGAGGAAATTTCACTTACATTTTTCTGTGCTCCTAGAAGTTTTGATGTGAAATAAAAGCGTATCTTTTCAGCTGGATTTCTGGGCCAAGTTTGAGATTGGGTGGAGTTTTTCAATTAATGATATCTGAAGTTTTCTTTTTGAATAGTTTCTGGACCAAATTGAAACAGAAAGCTTGATTTATTTACCATTCAATATTCCTTGGGCGAAGTAATTGTTTTCAAGGAGTTAGTGGTTTGTATGTGAGAATTTTCATTGACATTTTAGTATTTTCTCAATTCTCTAGACGTTTTATCCTGTATAAGTATATATTAGTGAAGAAGAACAAGTCAATTCACAGATGTTACGTTTTTCTTTTAATTTGTTTTAATAATTTTTGCCGGAGTTTAGTAGGTTTTTACTAAGAAAAGAAATTCAATTTTTTGAATTATAATATTATGTCAGAAATGACATTTAAATAAACATGGGAACCGTGTCATGAAATTAAGGTTGGCAAGTAACTGACAAGTTTACAATTATACCAAGTTTTTACATTATTTTAACCTGGAAGATCAAGTACTGAAAGTTTATATGAAGTTATATAAAGTTACAAGATTATAATGTGAATTGTTTGTTTCAGATAACATATTTCGGACTTTGAGAAATATTGGCTGCAAAGCTTACTACTTTTTATTTAATCACCGATGCTAGAATTCTCGATCGAACGATCATGAAAGAAGAGATCACCACCGCCGTCATGTTTTTCATTAATTTCATTGAAAAAAGCGATACTTTTCCCAGAGAGCAATTGGAAAACTTCAAGAAATATCTCACTGAACTTCTCATAGAAAGGTAAGTCCTACCTCATCTAAACAGTAGTCATTCGCAGATCCAAGTGAAACTTGAGTTTGAGTTTTGGGCCTTTCTCTTCCATTTGTGATAGCTAGTAGTCATGATTGAACTCAGGTTCTTCTGCTAAAAGATGATTTCCAAATGTGGAATTGGTCTTCACATTTAAAAATCTACTATGTTCCTTTGTTCGTTGGTAAAAGGTTGTCTTCGTTTGGCCAATAGTTTTGGTCAAGAACCATAAGTCAACTCATATACTCCTCAAAAACTATTCTCAGATTCAAAATTGGCAGTATTATAGAAATTATTGGTTAGATTAACCACAAGATCATTTATTTCCTTCTTAAAAATAGTTTGAGTAATTTTGAACCTTGATATAACCTTGTTACTGACTTTTCCCAAAGTAGAAGCACTGCTTGTGGAAAAACTTGCATTTGTTTCTGTTCCGAAGTGGAAATAAGAGAAAAAATAGTTGTGTGAAAAATGTGACTTATTTTTGTAGTGTGAGTATATAGAGTTATGAAAGTTTATAAAGACAGATAAATTATTCATTTTGTCGAGAGTCTACCGAGAATTGTATTATTAGACAAAGCTGTATCACTGGGAAAACCATTAACAGTCATAATTTGTTGCTCACAAAATATAAAGCCAAAAATAGCTAGTGCTTACGATAATATCAATTATACAAATGTTCACCTCATATGATAAGTCTTATCTCCTGATTAATAGAATTTCTAGATTGTTCTAGCGAGGATTAATGGAAATTTTGAGACACTGCTATCTTATTTAAATAAAACTCCAACTGATGTATAATTTGGAAATTATTATTATCTAAAGCGTGCACTTCTAGAATTGGTCAACGAACAATTGATAATAGAAAACAGCAAATTATTTATGTCCCAAGGGTTGATTCTGTGTGGGTAACACACAGAATCAATTGGTAACCATTTATCAAATCTGGGGATATTTGATAATATAACATCATCTTATTTTCTGACAAGTGAAAGTAGATTGTTTATACATCGATTTCAAACATGCAGAGGGTTTCGTACAGGGTTTCTCCAATTATAAATATTGCATATGATATCGTAGTGGTGTGCCCTAAATAGGTTGCATTTCTATTATTGAATGTTTATTTCTTGAACTACTTTGTTTTTCTCCAGCAAGTACAGTCATGATTATGATATTATTCTACATAACCAGTCACTTGATTGAACATGCAATATTGCACAATGGTATTTGTTTTTGTGTATCACTTGAGTTGCATTCATTTCATTTTGGATTTAATAGATCTGTATCTAAAGAAATGCAATTTAAATTTTCAAGCCCGTCTCGGATATACCTACACATTAGCTTGATTGGACTGACGCCTATCAGAAAACAAGTACTCCACTGGCTAATACCACGAACTGCGTTGGATTATATCCGACAGGCGTCAGTGGAAGAATCTTCACAGAAAATTTCCTGCAGGTTGTTTTAAAAGTTTTGCCGATTTATATGAGTCTACTTTGAACTGTAATATCTCGGTTAATACTTATTCAATTTAATCGCAATGAGGGTCATTTGAATCAGTGCACTTTTGCCAACATAACACGGGTCGATTTATTCCGTCAACATGAAAATGATGTGCTCGGGTTTCGATGAATAGACGAAGGTCGTTTTTTGCGGGGTTCTGATTGGCGAAGGTGAGAAAGTTACTTGAGTGCTTGAAAAGATGGCAATCGATTGGCGAGAGATCTGGGGAGTATGGTGGGTGAGGCAGAACTTCGACGCTCAATTGTTTTTCGAGTTGCCCACATGGCAAGAAATATGAAAAATATTTGACAATGCTGTAAACCATCATTTGAGAATTACAAATCTTGAAGTCAACAAGGATTTTCTTTATACTTTTCACCTATGGAATTTATGCTATTGACACTGACTGACTTCCAAATGGAATAAATTCATTATTTCGTTCCCGAAACACGTCAAATATAAATTATAATTTGACATTCTTCAACGTAAAAATGTAACCTCTGTGACATTTTTACGTTGAACGACAACGTAAAAACGTGATATATCGTTTGAATGGTCTCTTCATTCTCTAATCAAAAATACTATCGCTTTCAAGTTTATTGCAATAATTAAGATAAAATAAATTAAAATCATGTGGTTACCAAAATTCGATAAAATACACTCAAAAACTAAAATGTAATGCAAAACGTAATGAAATGTAGAATACGAAAATGAACTATGGATGTTAACGAAGTAGATGTTCGAAATGTTCACCGCAAAAGTCTTGGCAACATCCTAATCTCAAATAAAACTGTCTTTTAACATTATTTAACATTATATATAGGCGTGACCGACCTAATCGCAAGCGTTATTCGTTCTTTCAAGTCATTCAATTCTGAAGGTTTAGTTTTGTTCACATTTGCTCACAAAAATAAGTTCTTCCATCAAAATCGTCTTCCATGAGTTCCTGATTGGGTATCATTTTATAGGGATGCATTTTATTTTGTTTACTATCGATGTATGTGGGTTTTCCTCAAACCCAAGCATCACATCTAATTTGAGTTCATCACTCATTGCATTGGCAGCTGCTTTTTTTTATCTGCCCCACGTGACCAAGCTCGCGAAACTGCTTCTCTATTTTGCTTATCGTTCCTTGAGATATGGGCGGTAAATTAGGAAATTTCTCATGAAATAGGCGAGCTACTTTCTGTTGTGTTCGGCTTTTATCGCCGTAACTGATCATTTGTGAAATTGTTATTTTATACATTTCCGTTAATCTAACCATTTGTCAGACTTGAAGTTGACGTACTTTAAACTTAAATTAAAATACTGACAACTAATGTAACATTCAAAACAAGTTGACGGGGCGTCTCAAACTAACATTGCCACATAAATTATTTACAGTTTTTTAAAGGATACTATCTAAAAAGAACATTTTAATTTATTTTATTTTAATTATTGCAATAAACTTGAAAGCGATAACATTTTTGAATAGAGAATGAAGATACCTTTTTAACGATATACCACAAGCCTATACTTCCCATTTAAGAAATTGGGGGGTCGTACCTGTCATTCGACAGGGTTGAAGGTAGGGGTAGCATTTTTCGTTGAAGTTTGTCAAATTATAATTTAAATTCGACGTGTTTCGGGATTTTGTTGAAATATGTACCGTATCCGAAATAATGGATTTATTCCATTTGGCTTTTACACACTGTATGTTACAGCTGTAAATAAGTGAACCGACAATGTAGCTCATTAATTATCTATTTCACCATTTTATAGCGCTCTCGTGGATAGTCGGTACTTGTGACGTCAGATCTCTGTCGTTTTTTAACGGACAACATATTTGGGAATTTATTTTGGGAAAAATGTCCTACCACTTTTTCAGAAGTTACTGTTGTCCTATCCTGCCTCAAATATATCCATTTCTGGTCATCTGACACCAGTAATAACTCCGCGTTTCGAGTTGTTGTGTATCTGATTGAAACGAATCAACTTGATCTATTTTATAACGAGCTACGCTGTAGCAATGAAGCTCGTTTAGAACGGACTACAGTTATGAATTGACCCGATAAACTTTTGCCTTTTGTTTTTTATTGGTCGCTGCACATAACAATAATCTTGCTCGCTATAATTTTAGAACTATTATCTAACTGTGATGCAAAACCCCGGTGGTTGCAAAATATGGAATTGATGTTATTATTCGTAAAAAAAATAATCAGACTCGAACGAAAATTGGTGTTATTTTTCACCTAGTTCTTGGAAATTGGTGTTATCCAACGATAAATACGGAATTGTGTTTTTGCATGTGCATTTTTCAATCAGTGTGAAAGCAGCCACGAGTTCTAGCCATGGATTTGTCGAAGCGTCGCGCGAGATCCGATTATCAGCGGCTCCCAAAATGAGTATCAATTTCGTGGCCAGCAATGACTTTACTCAATGACCGCAAAGAAAAATCCATAATTCCTTCACATCATTCGTGAGTGGGGATTATTTTCTTCGAATATATTCATTGAAGCATACAGAACAAAACCCATATGTTGAAATTTTTTGTCGCGGATAAAATCAACCCCCACTCCCTATATAATAATTTTTGAAGAAAAATTCATAATTCCTACAAGTCTTTGTGGATGGCTGTTTTCTTTGAATGTATTTAATAATTTTGGCATACAGAATGAGTCCCGTATGTTGAAATATTTTGCCGGGCAGTAACGCAACCTCGACACACACGGGTTTTTCGAGTTTTCTGGTTCCGATGATTCTGATCATTGTTTGTTTTATAGGTTTTATGGTTATTAAAGTATTATTACAACATTATTATTGCGATCATTCGTTAAATTGAAAAAAAAATGTTACGCACTAAGATTCATGCTAAATCATTGCAGCAAGGAAGTTTTGGTAAGTCTACACTATACGACCATCAATTCTCATTAAAGCCATCTTTACCTTGGACCAAACTTTTTCAATAAGTTGGACAGCATAATGAGAGACTCGCCTAATATTTCTATTTTCAAAGCACAATTGAAAGCCTATCTTACCAAAAAAAACTGCTATAACATCAACGAATTTTTGCAAATCAATAATTCTTCACCCTAGCCGGGCAGCTATTATTAAAATGTTGTACCTATTCATATGTTAAGGACTGTAAATGTTTCTAAATTTGTATTTTATTATATATTTTATGTTTACTGTGTACTATTTTATAAAATTTAATTATTTATACTATTTAACGAGAAAAGTAAATAAATTTCATTATTGTTATTATTATTTTTTACCCCGAAGTATGCGCTGGTTAGGCCCTATCCTCCAAAGCCCCGATACATTCGGGTGGGCGCGCCAGCATTATCAACCAACGACCACTCGTCACACCGTGGGGTAAGTGATCATTGGGCCCGAGAAGCATGTGCCCTGAGTAAGCGCAGTGAGCCATAAATGACAGCCTTTTGCATCTGTCGGGCTAAGATTTCTGCCTTAGTGCGGCAAGCCGGTATGATTTTAAGATTTGAGAG